AGAGACGTCCTTCGTGCTTGGTATCAGTTCTAATGGGATGATATGGTATACACTGTCCTGTCAGTTCTAATGAGATGATATGAAACCCTTGTATTGTAGTAACCTCAGAGCACGTCCTTCGTGCTTGGTATATACTGTCCTGTAAGCTTACTGAGGAAATTACCCGTCTCATAAATCTTCTCGACGTTTGTATTGTGTCAGTATGTACACACACTCTCGCTCCGGCTGTAGACGGAAATTGGCCGTGCACCGGAAATTGGCCGAACCGGATACACGTGTCCTATTGGTGACGTCACGTCCGGTGATTTGATGCCCCCTGCAGTTTGTTCTGTTGCGATCTTTATCAGTCTGTATTTTTGGTGTGATATTTGAGTGCTGAGACATTTGGCGTCGTAACATTTAGGTAACATTCTCAGATAAAATCGTATGAAAACCAGTGTGACCTAAGGCAACCAATGTTGGACTATCTGAAAGTTCATTTACACTTATGACCGCCTCCGTGGTGTAGTGGTTCGAGCGTCCGCCCGGAGAGCAGAAGGTCGCGGGTTCGATCCCCGACCGCCTCACACCAAAAGACGTTAAAATATAGTACTTGTTGGTCCCTGCCTGGCGCTCGGCATTAATGGGTACAACAAGGACTGGTCGGCTCGGAGTCAGTATAATGTGTCTGAGTGGGGTATTCATGCTTCACTGCGACATGTTATCTCAGTGGGCTAGCACTGTAAAATCAGCTTCAGTCTGGGCTAGTACAAGCAGCCGCACATACACATACACAGGCATGCACGTCGTCATATGAGCGAAATATTCTCAAGCACGACGTTAAACCCAATTTCACCTCACCACCTCATTTACACTTATAGATAGACATTAACCTATGTTTTAAACATATTTTATTCAAAAATGAAATGAATTGGGCACAAGTTATCCAACCTAGGAACGCCTTCTCTCAGAAGTTACACATTTCATGTTTACAATATAAAAACATTGACAACAGGGATTTGTTGAGTGAATTTGCCAGATTAAATTTAACAAGACATTAACCTATATCAGCCGTGTCAGTCAATGTATGCTTTACATTGTAATTGTTACTATGTCATCGTTTCCCAATTACGTAGATAGATGCTAGTGGTGTTAATCACTGGATTTTCTGGTCCATTTTATTTACAAACCGCCCCATATGGCTGGAATATTTCCTAATGGAGCCCCAGTTAGTGCCATGTATGGGTGTTCAAAGGCCTTGGATTGAAGAAAGTGATTGTTCCAGATTTAAATGTTAGAAATATGTGTTATAAAACTCAAAGTCAAATAGTCCCGCTACTCTTTCAGAAAAAAATATATTTCGTGTTTTGAGTGAGTGAGTTTAGTTTTACGCCGCACTCAGCAATATTCCAGCTATATGGCGGCGGTCTGTAAATAATCGAGTCTGGACCAGACAATCCAGTGATCAACAGCATGAGCATCGATCTTCGCAATTGGGAACCGATGACATGTGTCAACCAAGCCAGTGAGACCGAGCACCCCATTCCGTTAGTCGCCACTTACGACAAGCATGGGTTACTGAAGATCAATTCTAACCTTCACGGGTTTCGTGTTTTGAAGCAGAGGGCGCAGAAATAGGCTGTCTGTCTCAAAAATATAATTATTATACGTCTTCACCAATGTGGTTTGAGACATAGTACAAAATGTCACATTAGTTTTTAATATGGATTTGGAATCGTATACATTGTATGTACACGTGTATGCAATTAATGCATGTATACATGTTTCTGAATTTTTAGGAAACCAACGAGCATTAATGTGTTTTCACGACGTAGGTGTCTAGGCAGCCCTTATACATATCAGCGTATCGCCTGTATTAGTATGCTCTAAAAAGCTCTTAATGATTAAAGGTAAATAAGTGTGAAGTATTTCGTGTGAGTGAGAGGCTGAGTGAGTGAGTGAATGAATTGAAAAGTGAGTTAGTGGAAGCGTCGATGACTTAGTGGGCGAGTGAGTGAGTGAGTTAGCGTTGCTTTATGCCTCATTTAGAAATGTTCCAACTCTATTCCTGGGAGTGATGGAGCGAGCGACTCATACCGTTATGACATGTAAAACAACCCCGATATTTTCAACCACCTCATTTCCCTAAATGGAACGCTTCAACACTATAAACTATCTAAACTTCACCGCCCATGTCTGACAAACCTTCAGCAAGATCCATATTCAAATTATTCAGGTAATTTTCTTAATGACAGAGCGCGGGGCAACGACAAAAAAGCTATTACCCTGTGCTTCTAAAGCTGTTTTATTTCCAGGACCAGGACGACATATGACCAAGGGTTGTTAGTTTTTCACCAATTCATTCACATCAACCCTTGCAGTATTTACTCAATCGATTCCACTTCTACACCGTGGATAAAGCATTGGTCCACATCCCCTGGGTAGACATTACCAGTTGTTGTTAATCCCCGACCATCATGCTAAACCTGTAATCAGTGCTTCCAGTCATCGACCGATCAAATCCCATGAGATCAATGTGTTCAAATATCGACCTCCCACGCGGAGCATCGGGTCAGTTTGACTCGACGGGGGAGGTCAAGAGGTCATTAGTTGATCGACCAACGACGTTGGAACTGCATCCTGCCTCTGGAACTGGATTAAGGGGTCTTCGTGCGCGTTCGTGGCGCAACGTGGTCGTGGACGATGATGCGCACAGGTGACCACGTGTACATCATCGATGACGTTCATCGGCCCGATGGGATTCCTATTATAGCGACTCGCTTTACTTTTGTGGTCTGGTGTTCGGTATCAGGGCCTAGAAATCGATTCCAGGAATATAATCATGAAATTATGGGTTTGACGCTGGGAACAGACTAGCGATAAACGAATAATGGCTTGAAAAATCGGTGTATTATACAACAAACGAGCCTGGTTCTGTTAGCATGGCTGATTCCGGGTGAACAACCGATTGATTACGCCGATAATAGATCGCAGCGGTTTCATCTGATTAAACAAGAATATTTAAAGTACAGTCTCTGCGTGACCGAGACAAATAATATTACACAAGTCGCGTTTCTCCATAAACCGATTGTGTCATTAATCAGAATATATTGTGTCAGTAATAAATAAATATGTATATAAGTGTGTGTATGTGAGCGCTAGAGAAAGTGTGTGTGTGCGAGTGCGTGCGTGCGTGTGCGTGTGTGGGGGGGTGTTCATTTGTCATACCGACATGGATTGTTTCCATTTTGACCGGTGGCAAGTGAGAATGTTCTCTATATAATTCATGAGCGTTTTGAAGTGAGCATCTGCCCGCTGTTGGCGACGTAATCTGCCAAAGTTTCGATTAGATTTTACATTATTGATGTACATGCTGAAACTTGCGAAATGTAGATTGCAGGCTGCTCGTGAATTGTGATAGAAGAGGCGAATTTCTTGGGAAATAATACAACGCCAGAATATTTATAGCCAAAACCTTTTTTCGCTGCGGCAAAAAATGTCAGATGCACTTGACGCCTCAACAAATGTCGTTTTTTAAGGGCACTCTCTGCATTTCTTCGTTTCTAGTTACGATGGGGGAGAGGGGTCGTATGGGTCATTTGCTGTGCAGTCGCGTCCCTTTTGCTCGCCAGAATCCTGTCATTGTTGGTTCGAATCCTATATCTCTCCGATGTTGTTTCTAGGTTAGTTAGCGCCATAGCCGTGCTCATGGCTTTCCACAAAGTGGTAAAAACTGCATCACTTCGGGTTTCCTCCAACATCCCGCCGACACGTGATGATATAACTGGAGCGGAGTTAAACTCAACTCACTCACTCACTCACTTTTGTTACAGAGATAGATGATATTATACAAACACTGAGTGACTGACTGAGTTTGGTTTTACGCCGCTTTTAGCAATATTCCAGCAACATCACGGCGGGGGACACCAGAAATGGGCTTCACACATTTTACCCATGTGGGATTCGAACCTGGGTCTTCGGTGTGACGAGCCAACGCTTTGTCCACTAGGCTACCCCACCGCCCCAACTTGAAATGGAATGAGAAGGGATTCGCTTTCTTTATTAAATATACTTGGAGTAGTATTTAAGTTGCAGAGACTGAAGGTCCAGGTTAGAACTGGGCTTCGGCATCTCATGAACAATCCCTGGATGGTTTGGATAAGGTGCGACTAGATGAAATATCTCTCTGCTGTGTTAATTCAGAAATCAAAACGTTAGATTGTACAGTGCTGGACATATACTAGTCATGGGTTCGAATCCTAGTTGGCACCAGAAATTGGCTCCACACGTTGTACCCATGTTGGGAATCGAAACCGGCGCTTCGACGTGACGAGCGAACACACATAGACCACCCAGTATAGGATTGGGGTTTTATTGTATCATTCCTATAAAGCATTGTACCGCAGACTCGGCTTTTGTGGTCGTAGATATAGTTTATTTAACCTTATTGATAGCATGATGATCGAGGCTACCACGAAAGGGTTCACACTTTTCACCCATGTGGGATTCAAACCAGGGACGAGCAAACGCTTAGACCACGAGGCTACCCTAACGCTGAGTATTACATCTTACAAGCGTATCGGCTTACAACATGACACTGATGTGCCAATATCGATCTTTCCTTTACTAGTACAATTGGCATTAGAATTTCTGATCACTGAAATGTAACTGTTGCTATGTTGAAAAATTAGGCGAAAATAGAGATCATAATTTGTATGGATATTTTTAATGAAGCTTGAACAAACAATTATACAAAAATATCCCAAATATGTTTGTTCTGTATAAAACAATCAGCAATAACGTAGTATGTTCAATTTCCTGCAATAACACAACGTCGTATTAGTCACAAAAATGGAAAATATCCTCAATTTATTTCACCATTTATTTCTTAATGATAATTACATTTCAGGGAAATAGACCGTGATGGATTTCGATAAACCGTCCTCGCCCCGACTGATGGTATCTTGTTTCAGCTCCTTCGTGAATGCCGTTATCCTTCATTGATTCAATTTCCTTTCAAGAGTCTGCAAATTTAAACAGCTCGAAGCAGAACGGAACGGCACCACGGGGGATGATGTAACCAGTGATTGATCGGTGAAATGCGTGCCCAACTCCGCTTGTACATTTCACATGGAAGACTTCATCAGATGCGCCTTGGCCAGCATAGAATACAGTTCGCCTCACTATTCCAGAGTGAAGCTAGTGAGTTTGTTTTATTTTGATTATTATCACAGAGGGGGGACGCCCGCTGTGCTATTTGCTGAACCCATTTGTTTTACCCAACAACTCAACTGAACATCACATTGTAAACAATAGAGTCAAGATCATGTCATGTGGTGAGGTGAGTTGAAATTGGGTTTTACGTCGTTCTTGAGAATATTTCGCTCATATGACGACGTGCATGCGTGTGTATGTATATGTGCGGCTGCTTGTACTAGTCCAGACTTAAGCTGGTTTTATAGTGCTAGCCCACTGAGATACAGCGAAGCAGGAATACCCCACTCAGACACATTATACTGACTCCCAGCCGACCAGTCCTTGTTGTACCCATTAATGCCGAGCGCCAGGCAGGGACCAACAAGTACCATATGTTAACGTCTTTTGGTATGACGCGGTCGGGGATCGAATCCGCAACCTTCCGCTCTCCGGGCGGACGCTCTAACCACTACACCACGGAGGCGTTCTCATGTCATGTGGACACTGGGGCGGTGGGGTGGCCTAGTGGTTAAAGCGTTCGCTCGTTACACCGACGACGCGGGTTACATTCCCCATATGGGTACAATGGGTGATGCCCATTTCTGGGGTCCCACGCCATGATATTACTGAAATATTGCCTAAAGCGGCGTAAAACTTAAACTCACTCACTCATCTGGATATCATGAGAAACTATCAGTCAGATCTACCATTTTGTACAACCAATTCTCAATTGAGTTGGTTATTACGAATAACGTTAGATATTGTGAAAATATTCACAGCCCGGAAACGCCACTGGATAGCAGCGTTTGGAACGCTATCTTCGTCATCATCATCATCATCATCATCATCAACATCATCTATAGTGACTTTGGGTTAGGCGTTTCGGTGAATCAACGACATCGTTAGTGCTGATCGAAATCTAAACCTCACCACAGACTTCGCCTTCTGAGGTTTTAGCCTAACAGTATTGATCTGAATTTCGTCAGGTCACGCCATTGCTGTTTATTAAAGACGAAGTCGAGATTAAACCGGCAAGAAATGTGTGACAAACACACTCATACGATACGTTTAACCTCTACTCCATCTTAAAACTCTGAGGGAATAAATACACGTTGAGGTAATTAAGAGTTATTTATTATAAATAAATATCCTGGAGCTGAAAAGGCTGCAAAACAGGGTGAGATTGTTCTAGCTGTTTAAACACAACCGTTATAATGTTATTTTTATGTTAAATGTTTATATCTTTCTCACACAAAGTTAAACCTGTTTATACCGAAACCCCATAAGTCCACCTGATCCCGTTACTCGGCTCTTACAGTTGCTGAAGACCAATTCTAACCCGGATTTTCATTATTTTTGTAAATGAGTGAGTTTTAGTATTACGCCGCTTTTAGCAATATTCCAGCAATATCACTGCGGGGGACTCCAAAAATGGGATTCACACATTGTACCCATATGGGGAATCGACTCGGGTGTTCAGCGTGATGAGCGGACGCATTAACCACTAGGCTACCTCACCGCCCCTGTTATATACCTGAATCCAGTCGCCCTCAGTACGTGCATCTGGTCCATTAATCGGGCCAGTCTGCCACCGAGAACCTGTAATCTCATATCTGAAAAAACAATCCAAACAGTAATCTGTGGTTATCTTTAAGTGTTTATTGGGACGTTGTGTTGGATGTCATGCAAATGTGTCCTTCTTCAGACGTATAACGACCGGCGATCGTACATCAAACTAACAACCCCCAACTGCCTGAAGTCGGTCGTATGTTAGTCCTTAACATCTGCATCAGCGCATTAAATGGGGATATAAACCAAACGCCAAAAGAAACGTTACCATCCTTCCTTATGACGGGGGTACCTATCTTTAGCTGGCGTTGTGATGCGTGGACATCCACTTCTTGGGCTCTCTAAGGGGACCCCAGTTCGTCTGAAGCCCTGAATAAGTTTTATAACCGTGATACGATGGCATCCGAGGGCGTTGGCAACAGCATTGTATGTCGACCCCATCTGCACCATTGCACTGGGTCTTTCTCTCTCTTCAGCTGTTAATCGTGGCATACTTCTCGCACTTGTGTATCATATCATGTATTCTAGGCTCTCTTTATACCCTACAGAATCATTCTACATGTGAAATGGATGCACATACTGCTTGAATATTGCTGGGTTTTGGCGATTAATATTGCTATGTGTAAACAGAACTGGAAAAATGTTACTTTGCAAGCAAAAATGTTAACAAAGATAATTTAAGATGTTCCCAAACATTTTTTCACAATATCACAGACACGTTTTACTTGTTTTCACTAATGCAAATCAGCAGAAAATGTTTTATAAGACTGAAATCATAGGAATGATTATTTGACAATTTTACACACTCTACAACAGTTGTTTCTTGTTTTAACAGTTGAAAAATGGTGACTTTAAATGGTTTATCTTTGTCTCAAACAAGATTCTTATTTCAGCCTTTCTTTTGTACATCTAAATCACTGTTATTGGTTTATTTTGGCATGGACGAAAATAGGACAATTTAACTCTTCTGAAAAAAGATGCATTTCACCTAAATATGAATGCATATGAGAAATATTTTTCGTGATTTGCATAAAGCTGTGTTGTTCAGCTTTCTCGTAAACTAATACCTTCTAACACATCTTTGATAGTTTTTGGATAATTTGTAAATGTAGGAGGGTGACGTTTCTTTTGGCGTTTAGTGTACATTGGCTTGTCATTTGTTTTGTATGCAGCTAAGGGCGAAAACGGACCCTAGTTGATTTTGTACAATTTTTAAATTCTGCATTAAGTTCTTTCTTTCCCTTTGTTCGAATTAGAAATGTGATTTTTACAAAGTTCTTAATAAGAGGACGAATATATTTATGATGATTATCTTTTAAATATGGCATGCACTCATGAAAAAAATATAATATGAAACAAAAACCGAAATATCTGCTTATTACGACAAATTAATAGGTTCTACTTCTATTTTGATTATGCCCGTTCGTTTGCTCTCTAATATGTCATGAAGATGTTGCAGCTCATGGTGGCGTCCGCTATGCAAGGATCCTCTGATCGTAGGTTTGAATATCAGATTCGGCCATAGCATGTACGGGGGTTGTTGATATACTCTGAACCTAACTATGAATGATCAACTGCATGGATGATGTTATGTTTTAATTCAACCTAATCTTCTCCGAGGTCATTTAATTATTTCGACCCCCAGTGGGATTATTTTGGAATAACAACAAACCGAAGACATCATCTTGCCAGCCGATGGAACACTGCCCACCTCAGGAGAGCTGACGTTATTTATCTGCAATGCTTTGACTGTTGTTTACTCTGTGACTGATAGTGGTGAGTTTATGACTTATCCATGGATATAATCGCTCACCTACATCAGCTGAGCCTGCTTCAAAACGACGTAAATTCTCGCGAGAGATGATAACCTGGAGGACTGTGATGAGGAGTCAGCGAACACAGCGTGTAGAAGCATTCCTGAACCCTCACATGTGAGGTGTCTACTGTATGTGACGTTGTGACATGTGTAAGTCGTCGATCGTCCATAATCATGTCGTGTCTTTCATCAACATGTACTTAGTTGATGTTGATGATGTTACAGCATCTGTGTGGCTGCCCCTCCCCTTCTTGAACTCCACACCTGACAGTGGTAAGAGACTGACTGACTGAGTTTAGTTTTACGCCGCTTTTAGCAATATTCCAGCAATATCACGGCGGGGGACACCAGAAATGGGCTTAACACATTGTGCCCATGTGGGGAATCGAACCCGGGCCTTCGGCGTGACGAGCCAACGCTTTAACCACTAGGCTACCCCACCGCCCCAGTGGTAAGAGAAGGAACATCATACCCGGTAGTTGCCCCAAGTCTTTATGGGTGGCAGTTGGCGTTAACCCTTTCAGGTGTAGATACTTGATATTCGGAGCCATATTTGTATGGAATCCTAGAAGGGACATTGTCGTGTCGCGTTGTCGTCCTTACTTTTACAAGCAAAAAGGGGCAAAATTAACCAAAATGTGACAATGTTAATTTTGGCCATTGTGGCGCTTTGATAATGTAATATTTTTTATTCAACCAAAGGGAGACATAGCTACAGTTTTAAAGATCAAAATATGTCGCGTTGTCGCATAAAGAAAGAGTTAAATGCGTGACAATGCGACAATGTCCCTTCTAGGATTCCATAGATTTAGTCATTTTCATCAATAAACAATGCCCGCAGAAATATTATTCTTGATTGTGTATTTGGTTCAAATGCAGCGTGTAAGCATGGGACGCAGTGTACTTAAAACGTGCAAACTGCCAATAGTGTACTGTACATCGTTCGTTGTCTCAGCCAACCCTTGCAGCGCAGACAACACAATACTCGTGCTCGTTGGCAGCCTAATGGTGACAGCATGGACACGCCCCACGTTCAATTCCCCACATGGGTACATTATGTGAAACCTATTCTATTCCCCCGACGTGATATTGCTGGTATATTCACTCATGCTTGTTGGTTTCCCCAAAGTGACAAAGGTCTGACATGCGCTTTTGCATTGCATTCCCAGAAATTGAAAATCTTGTTCAAAATAATATCTAACTTACCTCACTCACTCGCTCATCAATTTAATCTGAAATTGTGGCGGCGGGGTGGTTAAATCGTCCGCTCGTCACGCCAAAGACCCGGGTTCGATTCCCCTCATGGATACATTGTGGGAAGCCCATTTCTGGTGTCCCCCGCCGTGATATTGTTAAAATATCTGAAAGCGGCGTAAAACCACACTCACTCACATATCTGAAATTTCGTTTCTGCGGATCTGCTCAGGTCACTTAAATGTCAAGGCCATCTATGGACGACAAGTGAGTATGATTGCCGACGGTTTTGGAGAAAATGCCTGCTTACTGTCGAGGAAATGATTTGTAGATGTTGCAATAAGTTTTTAGAACCGTTGAATGCCGCTGCCGATCGAATCTAGCCCTACATAGGTGCTGTCAACGTGGTTGGAATTAATAAACGAATTTAGAAGGTGAGTTTTCGCTGTCTTGGGTGATCCACGATTTTGGCTTGGAATTGCGGAGGTAGCTGTTTTCGGTGAGTCGTGGCATATAACTTTTGAAATAGTGATCCGATTGTGACCATTTATAGCTCATTTTGTAGGGAAATCATCTCGTTTTTATCCGTAGGCCTCGACGGGGCCTTAAAAATAGTTTACGTGGTGAAATCTAACTTAGATTGAGGAGGGAGTGGTTCCGTCGTTACATCCCTTTCCATTTATATAGTACTAGGGTAGGGTCTATATACCTATATGTCTTTCTAACGCTGTTTCTAAGCGTGACACGCCCCTGTGTGAAATGTTACATACAAGAGTCCTTGCCGATTAGTTCTTGAAGTGCTCACTGACACCTCGTAATCGGTTCGATTTCCTATAACTCACATCGATCATGCTGTGTACATAACATGCCCAGCGATCGTTCCACTCAAGGCGTAAGTGTTTATGCAGCACTGCATGCAAAATATATTGGATTCCATCGAGTACTTCACCCTTGGGGGTCGGCGCACGTTGTATTATATTGGGCGATCATTTGTTGTGTAATCCAGTTATGTGTTCACGCCAAAGTAATCGTTATTTGTTATTGACAGACATGGACTGGTTGGCCATAGGTTACTTGGTCACGTCAAAGATGTTTGCTATTTGAATTAAACGAGCATGGTACCGACAAACCAATATTCATAATTGGAGCGAATCTGGATTCGAACACAGCTACTGAACCCTGGTAACGAACGCAACGAATTTCTCTCTCTGTGGGACCCGTGAATGTCCGGGTTAGAATATTGATCTTCAGTAACCCATGCTTGTCGTAAGAGGCGACTAACGGCATCGGGTGGTCAGGCTCGCTGACTTGGTTGACTCATGTCATCGGTTCCCAATTGCGTAGATCAATGTTCATGCTGTAGTTCACTGGATTGTCTGGTCCAGACTCGATTATTAACGGACCGCCGCCATATAGCATGAATATTGCTGGGTGCAGCGTAATACTAAACTCACTCACTCACTCTCTGTGGCAGCTAGGCCACCGGTTCGAATCCCCACCTTGGAATGTCTTCGAACTAGTGGGTATTCATGGAATTGTATTGGGAAGCCGTGAAGATCCGTGTTAGCATTGATCTTCAGTTACACATGCTTGTGGTAAGAGAGGACTAACGGGATCGGGTGGTCAGGCTCGCTGACTTGGTTGGCACATGTCATCGGTTCCCAATAGTTCGATGTTCATGCTGTTGATCACTGGATTGTCAGGTACAGGCCCGATTATTTACAGACCGCATCAATTTAACTGGAATATTGCTGAGTGGGGCGTAAACCTTAACTCACTCACTCACTCAATGAGTTGGGGTTGGTTGGGTAGCCTAGTCGTCACGCCGAAGACATGGACATGGACCTCGCCGTGATATTGCTGGAAAATTGCTGAAAGCAGCGTCAATGTATACTTACTCACTCACCAACTTCCCCTCAACCACATCCCTTGAAACAAACTTATGGACCCCAATGATAAGAAACAACTTGCATTATCAGGTGGGCCAACGCTCACTCACTCACACATACACGCCCACGCACGCACGCACGCAAACACACACGCAAACACACACACACGCACACACACACACGGTCTATGCACATTCAATGGCATCGTCTCAGCTTCTTTGTCAATATCGAAATACAGCCTGTCGTTCAATGACCCCTACATTACAATAATCTATCAGCTAGATAATTACACATGCTATCAGTCCTATCAGAATAAAGTACATAATCGCATGCTGAGCCAAGCTGTAATTATTGCCACTTCATTGATAAACCATTAGCCTCCAACTGTTATGTAATATAGTCGTGGTATAATCTCCCGGCTTATTATGCCATTGCCTTGTCTGGTGTTATTGGGTCGTTGGGAAGCCGCGTTGTAGTGGGTGACGTAAATGAAGTCAACGTCAATAATGAGCATTACAAACTTTATATTTGCTGTATTTGCTTAGCCTGTTTCTGAATATGTCAGTCGATAAATCTGTTTGTCTTGCTGAGACATTGCGTGTGTTGGAGGAGTATGTGTAAGACGTGTGAGAGCGATGACGGGAAAGAAAGAAAGGGTGAGAGACAGAGAGTGAGTGAGTTCGTTTTTACGCTGCACTCAGCAATATTCCAGCTATTTGGCGGCGGTCTGTAAATAATCGAGTCTGGACCAGACAATCCAATGATCAACATCATGAGCATCGATCTTCGCAATTGGGAACCGATGACATGTGTCAATCAAGCCAGCGAGCCTGACCACCCGATCCCGTTAGTCGCCTCTTACGATAGGCATGGGTTTCTGAAGGTTCATTCTAACCCGGACCTTCACGGGTCGAGAGACAGAGAATCGGAGAGAGAGAGAGGAAGAGTGTCACAGACGCAAACGGTGAGAAAAAGAAGAGAGAGAAACGGGGAGAGAGAAAACGAAAAAGAGAGATATTGGGGAAGAGAGAGGATTGGAGAATGAAAGTGGGAGAGAATGAGAGGCGGAGGGAGGCACATTGAGATTCAGGGAGAGAGAGAGAGAGAGAGAGAGAGAGAGAGAGAGAGAGAGACAGAAACAAAGAGAGAGAGAGGTAGAAAAAGACAAAGAGGGACCGACAGAGAGGTATAAAGTTAATACTATCTAATTGAGTAGATGTGATTGAAACGTACGTCGCAACATGAACACGGGGAGAATGACCACCGCATAACGTATCCGTGTGAGGAATCAAACCCAGTTCGTAGCGTGATCAGCCAACGCTTTGACCACTGCCCCAGGTTTACATGACCAAAACTCCATGATATACTACACACCCTACCCGTAATAATGCCGCGGCGTTAAACAATATTCATTCACAACTGACACATCAAGTACACCCAACGCATTTACGATGAAGCTTTCCAAATGCAAACACAAAACATTTAAATATATCTATTGATTTAGCACACTGAGGGAAAACCTGTAGTGATGCAGGCGAAATCGACATGCATGATGGTATCAAACCAGACATCTGGGATTCAGGCCAACGATTTTCGATGAGGTGAGGTGAGGGGAAATTGGGTTTAACGTCGTGCTTGAGAATATTTATCTCATATGACGACGTGCATGCGTGTGTATGTGTATGTGCAGCTACTTTGTACTAGCCCAGACTTAAGCATGAATACCCCACTCAGACACATTATACTGACCCCTTGATGTACCCATTAATGCCGAGCGCCAGGCAGGGACCAACAAGTACCATATTTTAACGTCTTTTGGTATGACGCGGTCGGGGATCAAACCCGCGACCTTCCGCTCTCCGGGCGGACGTTCTAACCACTATTGTCGACTTTAATGACACCGAACTGTGACGCATTAACAATCGCCCCAGGTTTTTTTCCTATTAGGGGGCGGTGGGGTAGCAATGTGATTAAATCGTTCACTCGTCAAGCCGAAGACCCGGAGTCGATTCCTCACATGGGAACAATGTGTGAAGCCCATTTCTGGTGTCCCCCGTCGTGGTATTCCTTGAATATTGCTAAGCGGCATAAAACCATACTCACAAAGTCAATCTTTCCCCTTCACAAACTGTTGTCACGGAACCAAAAGGGCAGCAACTGTGATGACCTACTGACCGCTACAAGCCCCTGGCCATCTGCGACTGAGAAGACTCGTCCGGACCCAGGACGCTGTTCCCAAGAACACATTGCTATTTACTGGGATATGATGTCGCCTCGTTTAGGGGAATGTACGTGTGTGGAACGCTATTCTTGTTCGTTCTGTTTTCTCTCGATACATTTGCCGCTGGAGATAGTCAGTGGATCCACCTTCTGACAGTCTGGTTGGGCTCACAAGGGATGGTGCCGTCTTTCATGGCTTGACCAGAATCTGCTTCTTTGAATACTTGAGACCTATGCCCCGCTGTCACGTATGCTAGTCAGAATGGAGAATATTGTTAACTCTGAATTAACTAGTAGGTCAAATTAGTATAATATTATTAGGAAATATTTGGTAAAGAACATTGATTTCTTTTGCTTAGGATATAGTCTGAGTCGTACCACTTACTCTTTACTTCAGCTGATCTTGCTACTGATTATGGTGGATGTGTCTGTTTCACGTGTGTTATATCATGGCACGGCAACTTACTGGTGACAAGGATGTTTACAACTTTGGTGAAATATTAAACATCAGATGTTGCTTTGGATTTTTCTTGTTGATGGTTGTTTGTTTTTTGCTTCTTTTTTGCTATCCTAATATTTAGATTCAATTTGATGTAAAGGACAAAACATCTGTAAATGGACTACTGAACAATCAGTGTGGACACCAGGTGTTTGCGAGAAGTGTAAGCCAGTCCTGCCAAAATGTTACCATCCGTCATTTACACAAGTTGGCAAAAAATGTAAGTATTTTCAGCCCGACGCAACACAGCAGTACTCCTGCCATGCGACGACGGCCTGTAAATAGACCAGACAATCAAGTGACCGATGGACCAGACAGTACAGTTGTTAATAACGACTAATGGGTGTGTGTTGTTGACAGATGCAGGATCCAGGGTGAGCATGGGAATCAAACCCACATCCACGAATTTCTGCAATGCGACTACGTTCAACGTTCGCCCCATCAACTTTGAGAGCAGAGGCTTGGACGGA